AAAAAAAAAAAAAAAAAAATTATACCATTACAGAGTCCCTAAAAGTTACAATTGTATGCAATCACAGATCCCAACCAGAAGGTGGCAGGAGAAAGCTTTAGTCAGAGCTTCTTGAGGAATCCATAGAAATGTGTGCTGAATGAAAAGTTCATTTTATTTATACACATATAAATAAACTCTCTTGTTCTTAGCTGCAAGGGGTCTACACATGGCCCTACCGACCATGTCTATTCATCTCTCATATCAAAAATGAAAGAAAAAAAGGGAGAAAATAATACAGTAAATACCATTACATAGTGAGTACTTCTGTGTGCCAGGAACTGTGCTCAGGATTTCTATGCCACATTTCATTTAACATCAACACAAGCCCATAAGGTAAGTATTAACAGCCCTCATCACTATAGATGAGGAAATGGACTCAGGCTTTCACAAAAGAGAAAATAAGCAGTGTCAGAGTTGCACCTACCATGAGGGGTCAGTGACATATGCTTATTTACAAAAATTGGGCATAACTTAAACCGAAATTGGAAAAAAAAAAAAAAGAGCCCACAGTACAGGGACTTCGAGTCAGCTCTCCTAAAAGCCTACACTTTGGAAGAGTGAGGTTTTAGGGAAGCTGGTCCGCAGAATATGAAATCATATCCAACCTGAAAACAGAGCAAAAAAACAGAATTTTTAAATAGCTAAAAAAAATTGAAATTTATAAGCAAACCATCAGTTTGGAATGGCTCAAAAAAAAGGAAGCAACTTAGAAGATTCCAAAAGACTGTCTCACCTATGCAGCTGAAGAACATCTTATGATCCTACCTTTGAGGAGACCAGGAGTCATGGAGCCCCTGCGACAAGGTAGAGAGGTAATGGATTGGAATGTAAGTGGTAGGTTATGAATGGTGCTGTGTCCACATGACTGCAGAGATGGCCTTTATGATACCAAAGTTTCCCTGGGAGCTAACAGTGGTACAAGGGCATTGCACAAATGAATAGAATACTATCCCTTGGAAAATCAAGCACTGGCAAGACACCAAACTCTAGAGAAAATGAGGAAGTATTTGTATTTATATATGTAGAGAAATATACCTATGTGTTTGTAGATAAATAGAATTTTATGTAATATGACACGTACCAAACTGTTAACAGTAGTAGCTTCCTCTAGAGATAAAACTTGGGGTAAGAAGGAATGTCTATCCTGTTTTTAACATTTTACAGTAAGCACATATATTACTTTAATATTTTTTAAGTGGCAATTTTTAACCTAGACTAATGGTTAGTTTTTGCAAAATAAATGCCAGGATCAGATCAGATTTGACATGGAACAGAATTAATTCGCCATGATGACTGAAGGAGAAACTTCCCCATTGAAAGAAAATATGAAACGTACCTGAATCCCCACACTATGTCACAAACAAAGGCCACATCCTGGCCACCTTCACTCACAGAAGAGAATTAGGGTCAAAGTTTCCCCAGTGTACTTCCTGCCCACTCTACTCTAAGACTAGATAATTAGGAGACACAAGTCCCATTTTGGAGTTGCTTTCTGCCAATCTGTTTTCTGTACTTCACCTGCTTTTCTATATTTGATCTTTATATTCGTGTGTTCATGCTTCTCTTTTGCTTCCTTCTACATATTTGTCCCTTTGGTCACTCTAACCATTTTTCCGTTTTCTAAAGCTATATTCTGAATTCCAAATTAATAATTCCTGCTATGAAAAGAGCAAAGGCTATGGGGTCACAGGACTAGAGAGTAAATAGTGGTCCCATCATTACTAGTTGTGTGAATTTAGACAAATCACTTAACCTCCCTGAGCCTCAGTTTCCTCATACGTTAAATGGGGTCAGGATCCACACAATAAGATAATGTGTGAAAGAATTCCGTAAATGCAAAGTGCTCACACAAATGTTATTTTATTACTCTGTCTTCTGAGTACAAGGATGCTATGACCACTTCTATGCTGGCTCTTTTCTACTCTGAAAGCTGTTCTTTGGAGAAGCTATAGCTTTCTAAAATGTATTCCATCCAAAGTACTTTATTTTGGTTATTTAGAATAACAACTATACATACTCTCTAGTTGAATTCTATTTTTTTAAAGTTGTATCTAAGCTTTATTTGCTAGAGGCTATTACTAAAATAAAATATTGATGCTGTTCAAGTAATCAAGAAAGTTTTCATCTTCTGATTTTTTGGTTCTTCTGAAGGTGCTTGCTTGGATAGTTGCATGGATAATTATTTAATTTGCTGTTGGTATAAAGGGACAATCGATCACTGGAAATTTTTTTTTTTTTGAGACAGAGTCTCACTATGTCACTCTCAGAGTCCCATGGCATCACAACTCACAGCAAACTCAAATTCTTAGGCTTAAGCAATTCTCTTGCCTCAGCCTCCCAAGTAACTGGAACTATAGGCACCCACAACACCTGGCTATTTTGGGGAGTTCAAACCCACCAGCCTCAGTGCATGTGGCTGGCACTGTAACCACTGTGCTATGGGCACCGAGCCTGGAGATTTTTATTTAGCCATCTTGCTCTGCCCTCTCCTAGCTGTCTTACAATTCCTATCAATTATTCTGCATATAAAAATATTTTCTCCTTACATGATACAGTAATAACAATAACATTTGTTGTACATTTATACAATTATTGGCTGTTATTCTAACATACTAATATATGTATATGAATATGTACAGATATATGTGTGTATATATGGTTATATAGTTACATAAATAGTTTATATACATAATATATTCGAGCAATCCTAACATCAGTTCTAGGAAGTATAAATTATTATCTTCTGTTTACAACTGAGGCACCAGAAGGTTAAATGATTTGCCCAAATCAAAGAAGGCCATAGCTAAGATTCTAACCCAAATAGCCCTAGGCCAAAGATTATACTTTTAGCTGCTCTTATATACTATTCTTCAAGAAAACTACATATGTTAAGGAGGACACCAACCATAGGAGTAATGCTGGGGGCAGGAATTTTTTCCAGTGTTTCCCTGAGTTGATCCACCTCTGCTCTATATTCATCCAGCTGACATTCTAATTTTTCTCTACGTAATCGTTCATACTCCAGCTGGCCCTGCAGTTCTTTGATGGTCCTGTCAAAAAAAATTTTTTTCAATCAATCTCAAACATCAACTAACAATTAGTTAGCAATACGAGAAAGCATCTATGCATTGTATTTAAGGCAAATAAAGTGCAAAGACCCTAAAAGAGGCAACATCCAGCTCAGTCAAACACGGGTGCGTAAAGAGACCCACGCATGGATTCCCTTCCTTGTTCTTGTTTTCCTTTCCCTTTCCTTTGGTTTTTTCCTTCATATTCTTGGAACCTCTTGGGTTTTTTGTTTGTTTTTCCTCTTCCCTTTTGAATCTAGTCTCATTAAGAGGTCTGGTAAATGTATTCAGAGTAACATTTAAATCTCTGATAAGGATTAACATGTTATATACTTCCACGTACGAGTACGTGGGACTTTAAACAGAAGGCAAAAAACCTTAGGCCCAAATACCATACTTCTTTTTTCTTTTCTTTTTTTTTTGAGACAGATTCTTACTATGCCGCCCTTGGAGAGTGCCGTAGTGTCACAGCTCACAGCAACCTCAAACTCTTGGGCTTAAGTGATTCTCTTGCCTCTCAGCCTCCCAAGTAGCTGGGACTACAGACACCCACCACAGCGCCCAGCTATTTTTTTGTTGTAGTTCTCATTGTTTTTAGCAGGCCCAGGCTGGGTTTGAACCCACCAGCCTCGGTATATGTGGCCAGTGCCCTGACTGGTGAGCTATGGGCGTCAAGCCCTAAATACCATACCTCTTAAAGTGATTTTAGACGCTAAGGAAGCTGTAGCAGGTCGATTTTTTTTTTCAAGGCCTTTCTTGGTATTTCACATCATGTAGGTAGTCATCCACTGTCTTTATATCACTTAAAGTATTTTGAGATATAGAATATTTTAAGTGTTAGCCTTGGCCTAAGAACCTTGCTTAAAGTTCTTAGATCCCTTGTGGTCCAAAAAAGAACTTCACAGTGGAGTAACTGTTTCCTGTAATGAGTTTTAAATCTGGATTTTCTTTGCTTTTCTTCTAAAACCGATTACCATATTACCATTAGTAGTGCTTGTATTACTGCAGAGCACTCCTATGTGCTAGCTAGACACTATCAGGGGTCCTCAAACTTTTTAAACAGGAGACCAGTTCACTGTCCCTCAGACCACTGGAGGACTGGACTGTGGGCCCGGGATGAGTCAGCTGCTTAGCAGGACAGGCAGCGGCGGCAAAAACACCTGGGAAGTCGGATAAATGTGGTAGGCGGGCTGCATGTGGCCCACAGGCCATAGTTTGAGGATGCCTGCACTAGATAAACCCCCCTTAAATACATTATCTCATGCAGTCTTCACAACTACATGAACTATTTTCTTACCGTGCAGATTGGGAAACCAAGACTTACAGAGGTTAAGTAACTTTCGTCAAGTCACAGAGGAAATAGTAATAGTGGGGGGAGCGAGGATTTGAGCCTGAGTCTATCCCTAGTTAAGATCATTACAATTTTAATAGTCCTTAATGGAACTTTTACTGTAATGCAGTGATTTTCAGCAAGTGTACAGTGCACACTGGCATGCCGTAACAGGAGTGTAGGTGTGCCAGGAAAATTTTTTAAAATCATTAAATTCTTTTCAAAAGAAGTTCAAAACACAGTAAGTACATTATTTTTTTACTATTTGTTTTTTTGTTTGTTTGTTTGTTTTGACCAACATAATTTTAGTGTGCCATGGAAGGGGTTCAAATGTGCTATGAGATAAAAAAAAAAAGATTGAAAAACACTGCTCCAATGGTCACAAAACAGTCTTGTCAGTTTGAAATGGCTATATTATTATTATTTTTTTTTTTTGTAGAGACAGAGTGTCATTTTATTACCCTTGGTAGAGTGCCGTGGTGTCACACAGCTCACAGCAACCTCCAACTCCTGGGCCTAGGAGATTCTCTTGCCTCAACCTCCCAAGTAGCTGGTACTACAGGCGCCCACCACACGCCCAGCTATTTTTTTGTTGCAGTTTGGCCAGGCTGGGTTTGAACCCACCACCCTCGGTATATGGGGCCGGCGCCCTATCCACTGAGGCGCTGCCCGAAATGGCTATATTATTAATGTGATTTTTGAACATAAGGCACTGGGAGAAAAGAAGCACAAGGCAACCTCTATGCCAGCCATTAATTTCAGCCATCCCTTGGTATCTGTGGGGATGGATGCTCAAGTTCCTTATATAAAATGGTGTAGCACTGTATCTGCATATAATCTCACACAGCCTTCACTGTAAGTCATTTCTAGATTACTTACAATACCTTATATAATATAAATACTATGTAAATAGTTGTTATACTGGGATATTTAGGAAATAATGGCAAGGAGGAAAAGAAGTATGTACACGTTCAGTATAGACATAACCATCCATTTTTTTCTGAATATTTTCAATCCACAGTTGATTGAATCTATGGATATAGAGAGCCACTATAATTCAAGACGCCCCCAATGCCCAGAGAGCCAATTTAGGGTACAGGAAGTGAAAAGTGTTGAGAGCTATTCACCCGCTCATAGCCTCTAGATACAAACATTCTCTTATGAGTATGATAGTGAACACAAGACTGAGTCTGGACAGGTGTGGTGGCTCACGCCTGTAAATCCCAGCACTCTGGAAGGCCAAGGCAGGTGGACCAGCCTTAAGCCTTCCTGAGCAAGGTGGACCAGCCTTGAGACCAGCCTGAGACCAGCCTGAGCAAAGTGATACCAGCCTTGAGACCAGCCTTGAGACCAGCCTGAGCAAAGTGATACCCCTTCTCTACTAAAAAAAATAGAAAAACTAGCCAGGTGTTGTGGTGGGTGCCTGTAATCCCAGCTACTTGGGAGGCTGAGGCAGGAGGATGGCTCAAACCCAGAATTTGAGGTTGCTGTGAGTTATGATGATGCCATAGCACTCTACCCAGGCCCACAGAGTCAAACTCTGTCTCAAAAAAAAAAAAGAAAGACTAAAAAGACTGAGTCTCGAGTGGGCAGTCCAAACCGCTGTGGATATTTAAAGACTTTGTCACCTATACTGGTTGAAAAGGTCATAGTGGTGTGGTCTCAAAAAAATCTTACTTCCTTATGTGTCAATTTTGCAAGATGAAAAGAGTACTGGAAATTGGTTGCAAAATGTAAACATCCTTATTTAGCACTACTAAACAGTTACACTTAAAAATGGTTAGGATGGCTCATGCCTATAATCCTAACACTGGGAGGTCGAAGAGGATGAATTGCTTAAGCTTATGAGTTCAAGACCAGCCTGAGCAAGAATGAGACCCTGTCTCTAAAAATAGCCAGGTATTGTAGGAGGAGCCTGGTACTGGGGAGGCTGAGGCAAGAGGATCACTTGAGCCCAAGAGTTTGAGGTTGCCATCAGTTGTGACACCACAGCACTCTACCCAGGCTGACAAAGTGAGAGTTTGTCTCAAACCAAAAACAAACAACAAAAAAAAATGGTTAAGAGGTAAACTTTTTATATTATGTATATTTGACCACAATTAAAAAATAATCTAAACTCCTCTATGTGGGGTCATTGTGAGGGAAACAGAATGAAAACTGACACTCTTTGGCACGATGAAAGAACAAGCTAAAGATCAACAAACAAACCCTCACGCACTGTTTAGGCAGGTCACTAAAAACAAATCATAAGTTTTGAAAACATTACTTTTCAGACTCAAGCTGTTCTTTCGTCTGTTTTACATCTTCTTCTGTGATGCCTCCCAAGTGTTTATAGTTGCTTTCAGCAATTTCCAGGAGTTGTCTCAATTCTGTAATTTTCTTATAAGCTCTCACTATAAGACAGAGTTGAATAGGAAATTAGTTTAACAGGTCACAGCTCATGTGCTCACAGGGCAGTGGTACTCTTAACCATATTCTTCCTCTAGAACCACTATCTGTGTTTTGGGGTGGGAGGGGAAGAGGCTGGAGGAGAGGAGGCTGAAGGAAGGTGGCATATACAAAGAAGGATAAATATTAGTAACCAAAAATTAGGATGAACAAGCAATAAAATATCTAAATGAAGGGTTCTTTCCCTGCTACTACGGCATGTGTCAGACTATTATGAATGCTAATGCTATAAACAAGAAATTTTAAAGAAAGCTAGCAGTATTTTAGGACTAGTGGGCATATTACAGAACCATGCATATTCTACTATATGTAAGAAAATTAGAAAAATGAAAATATGCTTAAAGTAAAGCAGAAGTAATCTGGCCCTAAATTTTGTGAGTAGTCATTTATAATATCTATGCAAGAGGATGGTGTGACGGATGGAATTGAAACACATTCTTCTTAGTAAAGTATCAAGAATGGAAAAGCAAGTATCTAATGTATTCAATTTTATTATGAAGCCCGTAGATGATCCAATACATGCTCACACAGGAGAAAAACTTAATTCTACTCAAGTTGGGGGGAGGAGAAATGAGGGAGGGGGAGAAGAAGGGGGGGATTGGTTTGCTTCCACTTAAAGGGCACAAAGTAGAGGTGTATGGCACACCATATGGATGTAGCACACAAGTATAAGAGGGACTCTACCAAACAAATTCAAAAATTGTGAACTGATTGGTTGTACCTGCACAATAACCTGAAATAAATGTAAATAAATAAGGCCAGTACGGTGGCTCACGCCTGTAATCCTAGCACTCTGGAGGCCAATGCGGGCAGATTGCTTGAGTTCAGGAGTTCGAGACCAGCCTAAACAAGACAGAGATCCCCAACTCTAAAAGTAGCTGACATGTGGCAGATACCTGTAGTACCAGGTACTCGGGAGGCTGTGGCAAGAGGATGGCTTGAGCCCTGGAATTTGAGGTTGCTGTGAGCTATGACAACATAGCACTCTACTGAGGGTGATAAAGTGAGACTCGGTCTCAAATAAATAAATAATATGCAAAAGGATCATATCTGACTTATCCTCAGAAACTATGCAATCAAGAAGAGAATATAAGAAAATATTTATTAAGAGGAAAAAAAACATGAACTCAGAATTCTGTATCCTGTGAAATTAACCTTCAGAAGTAAAAGAGAAATACTTTCTCAAAAAAAAAGAGGATAGTGTGAGAAGGAAGTATGTTGAGAAACAGTTTGAAGGCTGGATGCAGTGGCTCACACCTGTAATCCTAGCACTCTGGGAAGCCAAGGTAGGTGGACTGCCTGAGCTCAAGAGTTTAAGAAATATTTTGAGCTATTTTGCAAATATCAAAACTATGATTTTTCCCTCTTTTACAGCAGTGGTTCTTAACCTAGGGTGATTTTCCCCCCCAAAGGTCATTTGTCAACACCTACAGCCCTTTTGCTTGTTGCAGTTTGGGAAAGGGGAGAGAGAAAGAGACATTCCTGGCATGCAACAGGTAGAGACTCAGGATGCTACTAAACATCTTACAATGCACAGGAAAGCCCCCTCAAAAAAAATAACTACCTGGTACATGTAATGGAATCCAAATTGTACCCCCCAATTCTATTAAAGGTTTTTTAAAAGAGAAAAAAAAAAAGTCAATTACCAAAGACTGTTTACTTTTTCTTCACTTTCCCGCCATCACCATGGATTATTTAATGTCAACCATTTGTTTTTTAGAATGAAATCTACCGATTATGTTCTTAAAAAAAAAAATTATAAGACTCAAAATACTGAGAGTACAAAAGCTGAGAAACTGCTTTACAAGCCCAGTTTAGCAAATCACAGCTTCTTCTTCCTAACACTTACCACTCTGATTTATCTACCAATAGGTTGGAGCTGCAAGATCCAAATTGCATACACCAAAATTAACTGGGGTGCTTTTAACAAAGGTACATGCTTGAACCTCATTCCAGACCTATAGGTATCTGTCCTTAATAAAAGCTCCTCAGACAATTCTGATGGGCAGACAGGTTTGGAAACCACCATAATAACCATTGAAGACGATAACGAGGATTAAAAAAAAAAGTCAGGAAAGATTGGAAAAATTTATTGTATAATAATTGCTTTGATATTTGGAAGGCTATGTTTTAAAAGAACTATTCTCTGGAATACTAGGAGTAGGAGCTTGGATTAATTTGATTTAGCTCCAGGAATCGAGGAAGAGAGATTTCAATTCAACAAAGGAGAAACTTTCCAACAAAAACAGTAAGAACTGGCTGGGCCCAGTGGCTCGTGCCTGTAATCCTAGCACTTTGGGAGGCCACAGCCAGTAAATTGCCTGAGCTCAGGAGTTTAAGACCAGCCTGAGTGGGGTGGCACCTGTGGCTCAAAAGTGTAGGGCGCTGGCCCCATATGCTGGTGGCCCCAGCTGTCCGTGTCAGAGTTAGACTGCAATGGTTCTAAGGCGCCTGTGACCAAATGATATGCAGTCCAAACCTCTCTACTAATACATTCTCCCTGCTGGTGTGCTCTCCTAAAAAAAAAAAAAAAAAAAAAGACCAGCCTGAGCAAGAGCAAGACCCCTCATGTCTGAAAAATAGCCAGGCATTGTGGTGGGTGCCTGTAGTCCCAGCTACTTGGGAGGATGAGGCAGAAGGATCACTGAAATCTAGGAGTTGAAGGTTGCTGTCAGCTAGGCTGATACTACAGTACTCTCTAGGCAACAGAGAGAGACTTGGTCTCAAGAGAAAAAAAAAAAGAACAAGAGACACCAAAGATGTGTTCCCTTTACCTTGATGTGGCCATATCACAATCAGAAAGAGAGCCCTCACTAGAAATTGATCCCAGACATTGATCTGGGACATCTAGATGTGTGAGAAAATAAATTTCTATTTATTTCTACCCAGCCTGTGGTATTTTGTTGTGGTAGCACAAGTACACTAAGACACTATTCAATGAAATGAGATTGTCCTCCAGGTGGTAGTCATGAAAATTAAATCTTTGGCATATATGTCACCATAATACAATTAGTATGAAAGGGGAAAAAATGTAAAACCTTTAAAACTATTTCAGGAAGTCTCACTGACAAAGATGGTAGGTTATTAACCTTGTTGTGAGACTCAAAGAGCAGATGATCAACTCTTTCATAGCTTTAAAAATAAAATTGGGCCAGTTTAGGAAAAAAGCACATATGGAGAAATGATTTGTCTGTTTATCATGGAACCATAGCACCTAGCTCACTGTCTGACACATAAGAGATGCTCAATAAACATATGCTGAATGATGGGATAGAAAGAAGAAATGAAAAAGCACAAGTTCAGGCCTACTTTTAGTACTCTATTGAATAGATTCAGAATGTCTTCTAAATTCCGGAGAAAAGGACTAAAATGTCTGACAATTAAGAGTGCAAACTCATCCTAGAAAATGTGCTACACACCTCATTGGTGAATATCACTACAGTCACCTTCTTAGTACTTCCCTTGGGAAGCTATGCGCCAACACCGGCACCTAATCCACCTTTCAAAGCATTTTGGAACTCTTTTTCTAGAATGGCCATCAGAGCTGTTGCCATATGGAGTCTGACAAGTAAGTTCATGAATTTGCCACTGTGCACTTATGTTGGCAGCACTGTATAAACAACTCAGTGAGGTTTAATAACCTTGGAATATCAGTGTTTCATAGCTTTGTTCGCTGTCAACATGTGGCAGCATCTAGCTGAGCGGCATTCATTACTGTTGTTGCGTGTTCTTACGTGCTGTACGATGACACTTCTGATGGTCATTCCAGAAAAAGAGTTCCAAAATTGGTTTGAAGGGTAGACTAGGCACTGGTGTCAGTGTATAGCTTCTTAAGACTAGTGCTTCTATGGTGACCATAGTGATATTCAACAATGAGGTTAAGTACCACTTTTTCTAGGATGAGTTTGAGAACTTAATTTTATCACACCTTATATAGTATAAGTATGACCTTAAAGGGAAATATGTAGATTGTTAATGTAAGCTCTTTTGAAATAGTACTGAAAGTTTCTAGTACAAAAGGCTGATCCAAAACAAGAATAGAGATTTCCAGTTCCACTGGTAGTTACAAGCCTACAATGAGGGATTCTAGAAGCCCAGGAAATCTATGCAAATACTCCACACCTGCTCTAACAATGACACGTGTATCTGGCACACAGTAAACAATAAATACTTGTTGCTATTATTAGCTGTAAAAATCATTTGCAAACTGACCACAAAAATCCTTGAGATGTCTCATTCCCTTTTTCCTATGATCCATTTAAATATGTTTTTCTCTAATATAAACTTTACCCCTCTTTAGGACATAGACAATATCTTATACTTCTTTATATATTCAACAACCCTAGTACAAAAATCTGTGTTAGTTCTCATTCGCCAAAACATATCAAATTATTTTACTTTGTAGACAGTAATTGTTTTTAAAATACTTTCCAATTTTGTAGTAAAAAGTGGTTGTGGTATTTGTGGGAGGATAAATTGCAACAGGGTAGCATACTTACCTCGGGCATCTGTTTTATCTGACTCACTCAGAAGTAAATCATCCTTGGCATCAGTGCTTCCCTCAACACCATGTCTTACAAAAAATTTCATGTCATTTTCATCAATTTCATTCTCATCATCTATATCATATTTCTGTAGCCCCTCTAACAGTTTCACTGCTGCCAGATGGGCAAACCTATAGAAAAGAATCAGATTACTAAACAGAACAGAATAATTAAACAAATTATTAAACAGAACCTTCTTGAAATTAACTGTAGCTTGTACTAACAGGGAATTACACTGTGTACGCTCTGACACCAACCCAACCACCAGTTAAGAGGCAAAACTGGGCTCGGCGCCTGTGGCTCAAGTGGCTAAGGCGCCAGCCACATACACCTAAGGTGGGAGGTTC